TTTCAAAAAAATGTCATTAAATAGCCGGTGGAAGGAAGGGAACATGCGCAAACAGTGATAGAATAAGTGTAAAATCTAATAGATTATTTTGGCTGTTGCCAAGCTTGTTCAATAAGTTTTACCAATAAAAATCGAGAAAAATTTGGAGGAAAAAAGATGTCGAAAAATGAATTTTCGGCTCTTTGGATTTTTTGTTTCAATGATAAAAATCTTTTCCAATTTCGTGCTATGTAGGGGGATGATGCATATGAGCATGCAGAGCAGGCTTAGAGCTTTCAAAAGCATATACACTTTATCTTAAATCTAGTCAATGTTGTCAAGAAAAATGATTATCAAGAAGAAGGCAAACAAAAAGGTAATTAGCTATGAAACGCAACGTTTTTTGCTTACTAATTCGACGTGCACGTCAAAGCCGAATCTTGGTGCGTTTTTCCAGAATTTTTGCTCCCACGTTAGTTTCTGTTTCGTGGAACATTGCCTGGATTGTTGCACTCTTTATTTTATGCAATAATCGCCCAAGTCAGAGAAAAACTGCTGCGAAAACACCAAAAGAGAAGTTGAACGTAAACGCACTTTTCATGAATTTGTACTAAACCCCCCCCCCCCCATAATCAAAGAAGTAAGCTTTGTGACGTAACATTATAAACAGAAGCAAGATCTATCGAATGCACGAAAAAACAGCGGGAAAAGAGTTGAACTGCAGAGAAAAAAGAAGAAGTTCCCGAAAACGTAGTTTTTACCACATTTCTCGTTCAAATCAAAAAATGGGGTTTCGGGACGTTGTCTGCGGATCAAGATCTTTAATTATGCCGTTTGCAACAAATGGGTTCAAAACAACGGAGAAAGGGCACCAGAGGCAAATGCCTCGTGCCCCTCGTTTAGGATAGGACTCGAGGAGACCTCGCAACTTAGCGTACAACGTGCGGAGGCGCAGCCAGAGGAGAAAGACTAGAGCCGGTGGACATTTGGCTCTGTTCGTAAGTAGTCTCCGCGGGGTCTTAAAAAAATCCTGCAACACTACATATCATTCTGATCGTCTTGAAACGACTAGGAACATAGTACGTCCCAAAAAATTACTCTTTCTAACGAGGTTGACAGCATGTTCGTGCGCGATTCTCTGTGCAAGATTTAAGCGCTGTTTTCTTAAATCAAATTCTCCAAGTCTTTCATAAAATTTTGAACTCAATCGTATATTCTAAATAAATTTCACAATAATCTTCTTTGTAGCGTAAAAAGCCATGAAAACGCAATGTTTCGGCCAATATTATGCTTTGCTATTTTAGAGATATTACCCAGTATACGTTTCATTCACATTCATTCCGATATGTATGTAACTAGCTTGCTTACCCGGCTCCGCTCGGCGCTGTCAAAACACCGTAATACCCATCCCTATCCCTGTAAAGAGTTTTTCTGTGCCCACTTCTACATTTCATTTCTCGTTCCCTGTGTTGTTTTCGAAATCAGCATGCCCACTTACCCCCATGTGCCAACTCCCAGCCCTGTAGCTCAAACTTTGCAAAATATCGATAAAATCGATAAAAGTAATCGATAATTTTGAAAACTAATATTGTATTCGGAATCGCCATGCCCACCTACCCCCCCCCCCCTGTGCCAACTCCCAGCCCCTAGGTGAACTCTGCAAAAAAATCGATAAAAAGCGATAAAATCGATATCGATCGATAACGAGAAGTAGCCTATGACACGCTACCTGCCTCGAAGTATATGTGTGCCAATTTTGGTCCAAATCGGTTCAGAAACAAAGATTTCTATTACGCACATTATACTTGGGCAACTCGAAATTTTTCATCGAATGATGAATATCGAATACTAGTTGACTTACCTGGCTCCGCCCGGCCCTGTCATTATTATATTCGTAATCAGCATGCTCGATTACCCCCTGTGCCAACTCCCAGCCCCGTAGCTCAAATTTTGTAAGAAATCGATAAAATCGATATCGATCGATGACGAAAAGTAGCCTATGACATCCGCCGGGGCCCGAAGTGTGCCAAGTTTGGTCCGGATCGGTTCAGAAATGGAATTTTCTATTCGGAACATACGTACACACAGACAGACAGACATACAAACAAACAGACATTCAGCTTTATATATAAGATATTTCAAGGAAAAAATTTCGAATAAACGAATATCGAATAAATTCGAAAATAAAAAATCTCGAATAAACGAATACCGGATAAATTCGAGGTTTAAAAATTCTTAATGAATGAATTTTGAATAAATTCGGAAAGCTAAAATATCGATTGAATGAATATCGAATATATTCGAACATTGGAAGTCGAATTTCAAATAAATATTTAAATGATTTATCGAATAACTAGAGCAACCATATCACAAACTTGCCGACATATCTGGCTAAAGTCGATCCTTTCATAATCACGTCGTATCTCTTATTCCAACTCCTAGCTCAAGATTTTCCAAAAATCGACAAAATCGATAAAGTAAATTTTTATCCACAATCAGCACCCTCACTTACCCCCTTGTACCATCTCCCACCAGTTCAAACATCTCCAAAAATCGATAAAATTGATAAAGTAAAATCTTATCCATAATCAGGATTCCACTAAATTTCAAAGACGTTTAGCAGAGTAACAGATAACATTGGCTGGAGCTGAAATCCAAAAATGAAAAACACTGCAACTTGGTATAAGCACCTAATGAGCTGTTCGGATTCATAGCGCTAGGTGTGCGATCTTTTGAAGCAGTAACGTGGCCACATATGTGCTTAAATTCTACAAATGCTACGATACATTGTCTGTTCATCGAAGACTTTGGTCTTGTGTGAAAGCTAGTTGTGGATGAAGACATGTGGTTTCTTCCACGAAGCGAGCACGAATGCCCCTATAGCCCCGAGCATACTGCAGGCATTTCAGTGCGTGGTTTGGCAATCGCCAAATTGTCCAAAACTTAATTCAAAAGTACAGAATGCAGGGCATTTATCTTTTTGGTGAGTTGTACACGCTAAACATTTGTGGTAAGTTGGCGTTACATTTAAAGACATCTGGCAAAACGCGAACGGCGATCTAAGCCGTCTACTTCTCCACTACAACTGCGATGTCCTTTACTCAAAATACACCAATTCGCAAAAAAATCCCTAAGGTAGCGAATAAAGGCGGTTGTGCAATATAACTTATACGAGCAAGAGTGCTCACTAGTGTGGGCTTTGCGTACCACAAGCATGGCAATGCAAAGAAAACAGGCATTTCAAAACACTTTCAATATATGAACTTGGAACATAAGCTTGAGTATGATAGCTGTTTTTTTGCCAATTTGGTGCCAAAGGCAGTGCGAACAATCTCATTGATCGAAAAGCATAAATCAAAATCACATATGATTTTTCTACTGTCGCAAGAAGTTGGAAGATTGCGACTGTCCATACAGTTCAGAAATATAACGGTTGCGAAAGATGCATTACCGAGTTTTGCGGGAAAAAAAAACGCGAAGTGAGCTTGATACTCAGCAATTGGCTCTGCAACAAAGTCGAGTAATCTGAATATGCTCATTCGAATACGAATTCGAATAAACATTCGAATAAAACATTCGAATAAAATCTATTTGAAACCCCGTTTCTTGATTAATCAAGTTTTCGAATAATATTCGAATCCTCTTTTTTTGATTATTCGAATTTTTAATTTTTAATTAATTAATTTTTCGAATTTTATTCGAAACCCTGCTTTTTGATTAGTCGAGTTTCGAATTTTATTCGAAAATGAAAGAACTCCGAATATCGAATTTCGAATACGAATATTATTATTCGAATGTTTTATTCGAATGATCGAATTTCTATTCGATTCGGACCCAAGTATAATGCACATGCGTACATACAGACGGACACACACATTCAGCTTTATATATAACATTACGATTTTCAACATTTGGGACTTCGCCCCGGATCTTCTATTTTTTATTCAGGTAAAAGTTGTGTTCTTTCATGTCGCTAAAACTGAAGGTTACGAGATGTCTTCTATAGATTGGAGCATGTGGGAGTGTCATATCTATGCAGTTTGATAGATCTGAGTTAGATCAAAAACTCATGTTTCCATTTTTCATTGCATTTGATTGTAAACATTGAAAATGGTTGTGTCCACCATATTCTTGTAAAAATTGTTCTCCTCTATCCATCAGTGTGCTGTGAGCATGAAGCGTCCAAAAAACGGAAGGAAACTAAGTGAGAAACTTTACAGGATTCCTTGTATTCTTAATAATTATTTTCAAAAAGACCTTTTCGTCGACTTGAAAACTCTTGCGGCTTAATAAAGGCAGATTGTCATAATTTCGACTATATGTGATCCTACGTTTAGGTTGAATTTCTCTATTTATATACAAGGGAAGGATACCAACATTGGTCGGCGATTGAAGATGCGATGCATGTCAGTAGACGCGCCTTTGAATGCTGATTCCAATTCTGCTTTCCTTTTTTGCGAAACAAGTTTACGAAAGAAGTCGTGAGCGTTTGTATGTCCAAATTTGCCAAAGTTTAACGTTAATATTTTTCCCCTATTAGCATAGTGTCCAGTAAAAAGGTCAAATGACTCAAACAAAGATAAGCTGCTGGCTCAACTCGTTTTGAGTATGAGAAAGCTTGAATTCTGCTATTGAGAAATCGTTGTTCAATCATACGTGAAAGTTATAGCTCAAGCACTTCGACAAGGTTTTTTGCTAATAGTTTTTTGTTTGACATTGTTTCATGCTGTACGTTGCTAACAGCAATTAGTTACCAATGGCACGTCATTTGAAAAGATAAAAACGTAAATATTAATAATAACTAAAAAGTTTGCTTCATTGTCTACAGCGTTTATAAATGGCGGTGATAGCCAAATCCGATAGACTTGCATAACAATCATGCGTGAAAAAGTCTTGTGTGCAAATCCACAGTGACCCGTTTGATAGATATACGTTTCAATCACATCATTTATAGTTACCCATTTTAGACACGAAGCATAAAAGTTGAATACAAGCACGTTAATGAGTGTGCCAGTAATAAATTAGTCATCTGAACCTGTGACAATAATTGTAGGGCGCAGTGAAGCAGAATCACCATTTTTCGCAGTTTTTCCACACATCTCTAAACCGTTTATCTGAAAGAGCGAGAAGTAAACGAGCGCGACGTAAAAGTCGAGAAACAAAACCTCAGTATTAGATTTCAGCCTATTTTTATCCCTAGTTGCTCTCGTTATCAATGTGAACGAAGCTGGTTGGTCGGTTGCTATCGGGATGAATATGAAGTTTGCCTGTAATGGCCATTTCAATGTGACGGAAGCAGGAAAAACTCAATTATGCTATCCAACTCTCTTCTATTTTGCTTCACTTACCCAATGACTTCTTCTCCTTATATCAAGTTTTCCACCTCAGCTATGTCGATCGCACTAGTTTCATAGTACTTCTAGCTATATCTTAGTCCAAAAAATGCTTCAAGTCTAGCTCAATATCTTTTTAGGAAAAAAGATATAGATTTAACACCACTTCGAAGTCCAGCAGAGGATGGCAAATGGTCACCTATGTAGAACGAACTGGGCTTTGTACCCTTCAAGCAGAGTTTCTCCTTGATTGCGCCAACAATGCAGCACTCCAATCGGAGGTCGACTAACCTTCTGTCCGTAGAACCAAAGTAAGTTATGACACAGTATCTTTCAACAGTTCAAGACAATGACAATTGTTACTGACCTTACAATCATAAACCATATGTGCTACGAATTAATTCTGTGCGAAAAACCTCTTCTGATGCAAGCTGCTAAGTTTTGTCCAAAATGTTCTCTTGCATGATGAAAAGACAGGAGAACAGCACTTTTCTCAAGCAGGGCCATTACCTTGCGCGTTTATTAAGACACATATCATTCATAGATACGAAATTAGAGAATGTTTTGCACACATTTGAACAACAAGTCTACATAGTGCTAAATCACTTTGCATAAGGTAAATGATTTAGCTCCAAAAGAGAAACAAGCAAGGTATTTCTTGTTGAGTGTGTCGTTTTGAAGCTCTCAGTTTCAGAATGATTACTTTCTCTTGTTTCTTGATGTATTGTTAGAACAGAAATTGAAGAAAGGTTACAAGATCCGTATCGCTCCGGATTTCCTACTAGGCAATGGAACGTTGTATCCCCACGCTAGACTGAAATAGAATAACAGCATCATAACATAAAAAACGCTCATTCCTTGGCAGCATTGGAGATCAGCTTCCCAAATAAGCTGCTTCGGAAAGACAAGAAAGGTGTTCCTCTGACAAAAAGTACTGCTTCCATCTCCAAGATTTTCGAAGAACATCAATGTGGTTAGAGCGTCAGGCAAAAGGCATTCACTGCTGGAAAAGGATCTTTCAATATAACTACCCTAATTTCGCGAGTACAAGACGCACCCTTTTTATTTTCATAATCAAGCGGCTCGACCCCACTATTGCGTCTCGCAAAACGGTCGCTTTCCTATACGAATCTTTTAAGGTAAAGAGCAGCACAGCAGAGGATTTTTTGATCGCGAAAGTCCTTTGTGTGTTTAGGCTGGTCAAACTGGGTAAAAACAGGTGCGTCTCGTACCCGTAAAAGTTGGTACTTTTCATTGAAGGACGACGAACATCACCCGCACAATCTCAAGATTAGCGCCAACAATGAAGGCAAGGGACTGAGCAATAAGGACGCGCTGCGATCTCCCGCGCAGCCGGTTCAAAGAATTTTGATGGCGTCGAGAAAATGAGAACGAATGTGAAAAAAAGCAACAAGCTCCACCCCGTGGAGTGCTACCACAAGCTGTAAATGGAGAGAAATATGCATTTGTTGCAGATGTCCGCGCGGGACCTCCCTTCTCTGTGACCTGATGCCTTCTACCTATGCCCGCTTAGCGCCCAATACGCTGATCTCCACCCATCATCTGCCTCATTTTGACGCTTACCGAGGCCTTATCTCTCAAAATCTGTAATCTATAGCATAGTATCTTGAGTTACGTCATTTTGTTAGTTGAATTGATTTCGTGTGTTTTTGACCATTTTCTTTGGTAATAAGGCAGATTCTTGGAAGTTTGATTAGGTTAGCAAACTGTTATTAGCGCACTAGTGTTGCTTATTACATTATGAAAAAATTTGCTGGTTTTGCATATGAGAAGAAACATATAAGTCCTTTAATTACAATATTACGTTATTGCAACAGTGGGAGCAAATGGGGATTGTAACTCTTGCAAAAAAAGGTCGTCCAAGTGATGATGAAAATAGGTTGTCCAAATGATAATGGTTGATATGAAGTGTCAAAATTTTAGGAGTAAAAATCTACGACTTCTGCACGAATCTTTGACTCAATCATCATCAGGAAGTTACTCTTTGAAAACATTTTCATGCTGACAACGTTGTAATTTGAACACCATCCAAATTTCTTGCAACTTGACTAGTAAGAACAAGATATGTTTTTTGCTAGACGTCATGCAGTTACGAAATGACCCACTTTTGATAATGCTATAAAATAGATTAGTTTACAAAGAACAAAAATCTTGAAATTAAGTTCCAATAGCCCTCAGAATCCTTCTATGATCGGTAAAACCAGCGCTCCGTTTGTATCACTCGCAGAATTCGCCACGACTACCAAGGAAATGGTCAAGAACAGAAAACTCAAGCCAAACTATCGAGGCGATACAACATTGGAATGACTGCGCTAGTGATTAAGAGATAAGCCCCAAAAATGCACAAATGGAGGCGGTAAAGAGTGCGGAGAATGTATCGATCTAAGCCTGACAAAATACTCAGACGTTAGTCCGCTAGCGTCACAAGGCCATGAGAGACGGCCGCCAGGATCCCGGCATTGCTGTAACGCTTGCACTGAGATACACTCTGTTTATGGAGGGTATCTCAGTGCAAGTGGGTCTGTTTACAATGCCCTTTTGCTTCTTTCTCCTATGAAACTTTTCAGCTTGACATTTGCCACCCTCGAGCTGGGCCTTGCAATCATTTTTGCAGGTATGCTCCTTGCAGCTTTTCAAAAGTCTATTAACACTCACCAATATCAGTAAAATGCCGTTGATCCAGTACACATGCCGCCATTGATCGTGACGTCGTTCGTCATGAACGATCATGGCTACCATGGCTGGGCCAACAAACAAAGCTATGCACTTCATGAATTGAATGGTGGCCAGAACAAAATGGGCGTACTGCCTGGAATGCTATGGTCATGTTTATGTTTCCGACTGTATTGTTTTCGAGAAAGGCTCGTCTCGACTGCTCCAATGTGAAGGCTTGCAAAAAGTGTTTCTGACCAAATTCTGTGTTAAATGAGTAAAAACAATTAATACATGGTATATGTCACCAGCAAGTAAAGAAATTTGGTTAGCCTGCTAATCCAAATTTCGTCTTCTTTCTAAAAGTTTTTTTATCTCAGGCAACGGATAGGACCCCTCCGCCGGAGAAATGGCAGGGTCGCGGCGTTTCCCCAGCCGGTGGGTCTCCCATTTGTTTGGCGGAGCCCTCCCATTTCTGCTCCGGATACCTCCCATTTTCTGCTCCGGATACCTCCCATTTTCTGCTCCGGATACCTCCCATTTTCTGCTCCGGAGGCCTCCCATTTTCTGCTCCGGAGACCTCCCATTTTCTGCTCCGGATACCTCCCATTTCTGCTCCGGACTCCTCCCATTTTCTCCGGCGCGGCTCTGCCAAATCTGGCAGAGCCGCGCCGGAGAAATGGCGTACCTTTGCAGCAGGGCCGAAGAAGCCTTCCACTTGCCTGCCAGTGATGTCACCGCGACGGACCGCCCATTTGCCCCTCTCTCATTGGTCAACTGGGTCCGGCGCGACTCTGGCAGATTCGGACTGTCCGGCGGAGGGGTCCGGTCGATTGTCTGAGATCCTAAAATTGTTTCGCTCATGCATGATCTGCTTTTCTTGTCAGGGGTCTGCATGTTTTCCTGTCTGAGGCAAGGGCTCTTCATCTATTTCAAGTTCTCGCAGTCGTCCTTGATTGTGTCCACCTCATCTTGGCTTTACACCTAGGTCTTTCTGGTAGCTCCGCCGTTAAGTCTTACATAGTGTTCTGGCTTTCTTCCCTTCTGCTCACATGCTCAAAACAGCGTCAGGAGATACTATCATAACCGAGTACCAGGGCCTCGCTAGAACTATCGCACAAATCCAACCTTTGTGCACCCCCTCTAGAGAAAATCAGCAGAAAACGCCGAGCTTCGAGAACTACGCCCATTCCCTCGCACGGCACGCCCCCTTGAAAGAACTCTCCTCAACCCTTGAGTGTTTTCAGTAACAAACACAATGGAACACATAGTATCTACCTGTTACTGCTTGCTTTCGACAAGAATTGCGTTAGAAACGCTCGTCCACGCTTCTCACAAAATTGTCTCAGAAATCGGGTTTTTTGAGGAATTCACGCAGTTTGAGTACAATATCTACAATCCACGCCATGAAAGGGCCGGAGTACGGCAAAAAATAGAAGTCAAGATTCTGCCTGAACGCTTCCACACTATAATCATATGACAAGTGCACAATTTACCGATATTTTGAATCACCAAATCCCCGGAGAAGTATAGAACTCCTACTCTTTGACTATTTTTTCAGAAACTTGAATGCTTGTGGAAAAAGCTCATAATTCGCACCAACAGAGTAGATTGTTAATTAAACTATTGTTAAATTTTCATGTTTTTGCTATAATCATGCACTTTATCTTTTCCGAAGAAGGTGAAGACTTTAAGAATGCTTTTGTAATACACAGTCTGTAAGGCAGACCAAAAAAACAATTCCTATCGCAAAGAGGTTCAATCTACTTCACCAGCACCTACTTTCCAAAACTATGGCATGGAGAATACAGAGGAGTTTTACAGCTTGATGACTTTGATTTTGACTGAGAGCATCTGGGAAAAACATCAACTTGCACAAGCACGTTAGAAGGTTAAAATTTCTGCAACTTACAGGGACGGTAAAAACTAAAGGGAGATCTGATACATATTAGCTGCACTCAAACATTTTTTTGCGCGAGGTGGGTTTCCTTTCCTGATTTCCGTGTTTTTGGTTAAAATCTTTGCTCTTTTGACTATTCAGAGCTCGATTATATGACTACAGAAAGACGCACTCACCTGCACTGTATTTTCTTAAGATACATAAATAATACATGAATTTACCTTGATGAGAGTGTCCCACATTTGTAAAAACCACCCGGATTCATTCCCATACACGTAATCACTAGCGTAAAGAGTGCAACACCCGTTTTCGACCAGTTGGCTGGGAACACTCCGATCAATGCGCAAAAAACTCCCGCTAATCCGACTGCGATCGAGTTGAAAAACCACATTTTGTGCCGTTCGGTGACGCTTCTGAATGGATTTGTGTAATAATTAGAGATATTGAGTTGAGACTTACGTGATTCGATCACTGATAATCCCACCGACAAATTTGAGCGGAAGGTGAATGCTGGCAGCAAAAGAGACAAGCACACCTAAAAAGAAAGCAAAGCTAAACAAAAATCTTTTCATACGCAATGGTTAAATTGCGGCGAACTTTACCTGTTGTAGGAATATCATATCCAAGAACGTTATGGAAATAAATAGGAGCATAGACTAACAATAACGTGACTGTAGTCATTTCCGTGAAAGCATTAAACCAGACTATTAAAATCACCCTGTTTTTGATGATTTCCTATAGATAAAACGCATTGCTCAAATTTATCAAAAAATGTTTCTTTCATACTTTGTATGGCACAAAACTATCTCTTTCTATGTGAGCCTGTGTTTTATCCTTTTGGATTTCGGACAGCTCCTTTGCGCTAACGCTCGGATGCAACTGTGGATCATCACGATAGAATATTATCCATAAAATAAACACGAATAATCCAAATACGGCATGCATGTAATAGGCCGAGCGCCATCCGAGGTTTGAATCGCAGAGCTGAAAAAGTCTTTTAACTATGGTTTAATGGTCAGTGAGATGTATTCGTACCCAGCCAGAAAGTGGATTCGTGACTACGGTTGATACTGGTGTGAATGTCGTCAGTACGCTAATAAATATACAAGTCTGCGATAGAGGAGCCCATCGTACGCAAAGAATTCCGATAGCAGCAAAGTCAGCTGCATAAGCTAGTCCCTAAAAAGCTCTATTTAGAAATTAAAAAGTTAGATTACTTCTTTAGAGTCCAAGTGCTAACGAAATTATAAAGAAGACTGTGTAATACAGACTGGGGCTGACTCAGAGGAGGAGGTGGTTTTTGATAAAAGGCAAGAAGGAAGTGTAGTTTTTTCTTGATGAGAAAATGGTGCTTCTTGGTTTGCTATACCATTATGTAAATGCCAAATTTATCCAGTTTTGTGATCTCTGGTAGGATCAAAATAATTGAAACTAAAATTGCTTAGAAATAAGCACCTAGATGGTAGAATATCATCTTCCACTTCTCTTAGATAGTACTAAATACATTTTAGTTATCAGAGATTATGAGATTAAATACCTGTATAAATCTTGATAATAGCAAGTAAGGTAGTCCGAAATGCGCAGCAAGTGGTATAGCAGCTGTTGAGCATACTGATAGCAATCCCGATATGAAGAATGGCCATCTCAACAGAAGCTATGATACCAAAAAAGCCTTAAAATAGCTATTTTACCTTGCACCAAATTTGATGTAATAGTAGTTTATAGGGAATGTTCCTAATATTGTGCCAACTGCTACGGCCCATATAATCGAGCTCTTCTCCGCGGGGCTGTAGTCGTAACGATTGACAGTTGTCTAAAAATATTATTCTTAGCTACGAACGTCAATTTTGGGATTATCTATATTTTATTGTAAGCTTCCTGCTGAAAGGAGGAAGTTAAGCGCTTCGAAAGCTTTTTTGTAAGTGAAAGTATCAAAATATTTGCTAAATCGTCCGAAAAGCCGTTGGCTAAAAAGAGATGTTTTTTTGAAACTAATTAGTTTGCCACAACATAACTTATCGGACTTTAAAATTACCAATATTTATGACCTTCTTTAGATGGATTGCATTACAATGTGAAATGTTAGCATTTTCTAGGAAGTTTATAAGAACATAAGTGTGATATTCTGAATTTGAATAATACATTGAATTACCTGACCCCATTGCCAAGAACAATCTTCTCTGATTCATCTTTGGCCATGCAAATGAATGTGAAATTGATAATTATATAATTAGAGCAGATTGATGTAAGGCAAAGGAAACCCAAGATGAGCAGCACGTAGCGAAAGCTGTTTCGCCATAGCGGGGATGCTGTCATGCTACTGTAACAGACTCAAATCGAAATAAAAATGAGGGCAAAAACGATATGGAATCGGTTGTTAAAAAAATGAATATGACGACATAGGGTGATGGCACTTATTAATGAAATTTGAGAAGCTACTAGTACGTATCCATCATTATACAAATGGTGGAAAAAACTGCTGGTCCAAAGTACCTTGCTCAAATTTTTGATCGCAACATCTCTTGCTTGCATGCTAGAGGGGCAAAAGTGAAGGCCTGCAAAATCATGAAAGGAGCTTTGAAAAAACTCAAACCCATACCAATAATTTATAAGAAAAATAAAGAGGGTTTTGACATTTCTAAACTACACTCGCTTTATTCCTTGCTGTTATGGATATTTTGAAGGAAATATTTCGATCAGTCAAAATAGAACGTTAATGCTGCTTTCCTCTAAGGAGAAGAAGAGAAGAATTTTCAAATAGCATGTAATCCAAACTTCATTCTGAACGAGTATTAATGCTTTATAACATAAAACTGCAGGGATTGTAAAATAAGGTAAAATTTGAAACTTTGTTCGATTATCACGATATTCGGATTTAAACATCCACCTTATTATGATAAAAATTAAATAAACGCCTTTTTGCTTCAAAATTTTCTCGTAACAGAATGCTGTAAATGCATAATAAGTTGTAAATATGTGATAAATATTAGTAAATTTGCACGTAAACATTGTCAAAACTTCTATCAAAATTTCTTTTAAGTTTCTGACCTTGCGCCAAGTTCGAAGGGCAACATTTAGCAGGAGATGAGTACTGAATTTCAAAATATTCGAGATTGTGCTTGCCTTCATCAAAACTGTGGGTATGGACATCATAAAAGCTTACGCTAACTCGAATCAGTGCCCAATAAGCAATTTTTAATAAAATAAAATTATTGCACGAATAGGACGTTGCGCAGCTAACAGTATAAAAAATTGCACAGTACTGAGAAAAATTTTACTTTGGAGTTATTGTATTCAGTCAACAATAGACCATATTATGTATATCTTGTCATAACCTTGTCCACATTCAGCAATTATTATCGTTTGATTGATGGTAATCACTACAATGCAGATTAATGAAAACGACAACAAAAAGTAGGCTGACGTGAGGTCGCAGTCTACATAAAAAGAGGTACTCGAACGATCAACCGAACAAAGATCGCTACTGGAACTTAGCCGAGCCCATGGTTTATGTAAATTCCCGGTTGTGACAATCGGCCAGCTGGATTACTGAAGGCCAAAGTACAAAACTTTTACTCGCCATTTCTGGATACTCATCTCCCATACATGTGGGTGATACAATGGATGTACAACCACTCGGATTCTTCAGGCTCTCAAAAGTGTTCTTCAGAAAATCCTTGCGTGACTCTAGTCTTTCTAAAGTTCTTCATATCACAAATTTTTTTCCATCGCTAGCGAATTTCAAAGTTTTCTGCAAGTAAGCCTTCAACATGCTTTTTCTCTGAGCGGTTTTGGTTATTAACACTTATCATACTCGTTTCATCATTCTCGTAAATGGGTTAGCTTGCTTTTGTAAACAATCGTAAGTTCGCAACATTACCTCTGCCCTTTCTGGCAACTGAAGTATCCCGAGAGTTACTCTGACAGTGCAATGAGGGACCACAGAGAAGGAAGGTTCGTCATAGCTTCTATATATATCAGCTGCCCTAAACGCCCCCAAGGTAACTTTCAATGCGTGTGTTCATATACTGAATTTGAGAAAGAATACATAAATTTCATTTGCAAACAACCTGAACACGGTTAGATTGATCGGAAAATATTAAGACACTTGAAGAACGACGCACCTTTATGTAGAAAGAGAATCGAAATTGACCAAGTATATCAAGACGATCCGAAATTTCGTGTCGTTTTTCAAACCCATGCTCATATCACTTAAGACAATGAGATACAAACGCTCTAAAGAGAATTTGAAGAATTTTTTGCGTCTGTGGGGATGTTTTTGTTCTAAGCACTTTAATGATCGTTCAAATGTTCCTCGGAATCTGCAACCCATAATTTATGCCCTATGAGCTATTTTCTAGAATTTTCATTCCAGACTTTAGGAAGAGCTTTGGTAACAGCTGAATGGAGTGAACAAAGTGCAATACAATAAACTGTCTAAGCCTCTTCGACTGGCTTTCTAATATTTTTGAAAAAAAATTTCCGACAGTCTTCATTTCGCGAAGTCGTGAAGTACATAACCGCTTCAAACACTAAGAAATCTTCACAGCCGTTTCCAAAAACAGCTTACGACTGAATCTTATATATAAAGCTGAATGTCTGTTTGTCTGTCTGTCTGTCTGTATGTATGTATGTCTGTATGTCTGTCTGTCTGTACGTATGTTCCGAATAGAAAATTCCATTTCTGAACCGATTCGGACCAAACTTGGCACACATACACTTCAGGCCCCGGCGGGTGTCATAGGCTACTTTTCGTCATCGATCGATATTGATTTTATCGATTTTTTGCAAAATTTGAGCTACGGGGCTGGGAGTTGGCACAGGGGGTAATCGAGCATGCTGATTACGAATATAATAATGACAGGGCCGGGCGGAGCCGGGGTCAACTAGTACTATAATAATCTTGGCATGTGAGCGTTTAATGGCCCGAGATATTGTTCCGAATTTTCCAGGTACAGCCTGACACGCGTCTGAAAACAGGGTATAATGATCTAATCCTCAAAGTTGTACAAATCAGTAAAGAAAGGAGTTTTTCAGTAAGAGGAGAAGAATCTGCATTAAATGACACCCGATACTCTAGGTCCATTGTTCTATGAGGACGGAGATGCCCAAATATGGAACTTAATGGCGCCAAAAAAATCAAATTTCAGTTGAAGTAAAAAATGTATTGCATTGCATTTTGTTAATCCTCTCCAAATGATTAAAGCTAGTACAAAGGGTAAAAAAGGAAATTTCAAAAATAGTCAAATTAAGATAATAAAAAAATTGAACCTGACGTCCAAAATTCTGACGATTATTTGACGAACATTGGAAGACTCTGAACGAATATATCATGCTGAAAAAATTTCCGTTAGTTGTGTATCCACAAACATTCGAACCGACCTATCTTCTTCAGCCAAAACCTTTGTTAAGCCATTCAATGTGTACAACTTCTATAGGGCCCGAGATGCGAAATCATCAACTTTGAGCAGTATCAGCGCAGTTGAAGACCTAAGACTGGACAGCTGGGAACAAGCACGTAAACGCACATTTTCTGGTTACCATCTGATAGAACTTCACGTTTTATTCCTTATGCAGCTAGCAACTTTTATCCGTCTTCAGAGAATGCAAGCCGAAATCTGATTATTCTTGCTTCTCAAAGCGGCAAAAAACTGCAAATTCTCAAGTTTTCTGCCTTCCTTACCTAGAAATGAAACGAACTTTCGCATACGCAGACCGCTTGAGCGAGGTTGAAGAGCTTGTTGAAGCAACAGCTAGCAACATAATTTTGAACGATGTAGGAATAAAAAACTGTCCGAATCGTTCAGAACAATATGCTAAGTATAATGCGAGAGACCATCGTTGCCAGAATAATGTGAAGGTCCCACCCAACAGTGGTTTTCAAGCTGCACATTGCTTGGTTTTGATAGAAATAAATAAGTCTGTAATTTAATAATGTCAGACTGTGCCATCACTTAATGACCAGCCTAATAAAAAAACAATTTTTGTACTTGTTGTGTTATTCCTAAGGTGTACGTCTCAGACTTTCTCGCCTGTAATGATACCATTTAAAGAAAAAAAACTGGGTTGTTTGAAAGTTGTTGCAATGCTAGCAGTAATCCATCAAGCGAACTTCTACGGCATCCTCCAATGACAGTGACTGCAAGTACTCAGTGAACACAAAAAGTTGTTTGGCTAAATGTGGCCTAAGAAGTTTGAGTCCCAGTACAATAACGCTTATAATTCGTGTAAAAAGACCGCAGAGTGCAAGTGCTTCGTACTTCGCCGTAGAAGCTTGCAATCTACCATGGTTTGTTCATACCTCACGCAATTTTACCAAGTCTTATCGGCGCGCAATTTGACAAATTGCAGATGTCGGGTGCATGTCGAAAGGCGCGCGTTCCCTAAGCCTTCATTACCAGACTGGGTCAGTTCTCTGCAAAAGCAAGGTTTCCAGATTGCGAGATTTTTGTCAGTACATCAGAAAGTATAAAGAAGGATAACCAATTGAAATCCGAAAGTATTAGAGTAATTTCAAACTCATTTTTTGCTTCTTCCAGTCAGTAACAATCGATCAATACGCGCCATTCGACCGTCTCCCGCAGATGCCTACAAGCAAACAACGCGGATTTGAAAAGCATAGGCACATGCCTTTTGCTGATGTAAAGTAGCCAAGTCTTGCTTACCCAAAGTATGCTTACGATCAATTACGCACAACTGCAAGTTGCGCAGTGCCTGTCGCGTGAAGTTTGGCAAAGGTCTTACATTTTGCGCTTTTTGCCAAACTTTTCGTTAAGAAGGCCACTCTACTCCGTTTATCTTGGGACCAACTTC